TTTGGGACAGCATTCCTACTCGAGTGAGAGAAAGCTCAAGTTTTGTTGCTTTCAAAAAACAATTGAAACTGGCTACAGGAAACTCAAAGATGCAATCATAGATGACACTTTTATTTGTTTTTACTCTTGTCTTTTTTGTAAAATATGTTCCTAACTGTTTTTTCTAAATGTATATTTTTGTCTGTCTTATCTCTTTTAACATTAACCTGCCAGAGGACTGCAGATGGAAATTAGCCTAAGGCTACAATCTGGCATGTTTACAGTTGTATTGCTGTTCATAAATATGCACTGTCCTCTCTTTAAATAAAGTAAAATAGAAACATTGTACAGTTTGGCTGTTTCTTTTTGTACGTTTTTGAGGTTTTAGTTTTAAAAAAAAGCCAAACTTTTAATGTGGAGATCTCAGTTGTATCTAAGCTAATGTTCTAGGGTACCTCTTAGCTCACTTCATTTTAGTCTTGCTGACAGGAAGTTGTGTTGGTCCAAAGAGTGTTGGTGTCTGACTTAGAGACAAAGAGAAGAACACAAGACAGGATTAAAAAGCTTGGGTGCATCAGCACTCAGAGAGGAGTTTGCTGCCAAGTGGAAGCGACAGGATCACAGCTCCAGCTCGGTTCTAACCCAGTTCATTATCTTTCCGGTTCTTTGCCTTGTCTGTCTCCCGCTCAGCTGTGTGTAATGGGCAATCATGGATCAGCTGTTAAATGCTGCTCTCCTGCCCTCAGTCTTGGAGAAGGTACAGGGAAGTGTGGGCACAAATGTGTTCAGGCTTCTCTCTTCTCCTTGTGTGCTTGTGTGTTTAGCTTAGTGGTACTTTGGTGTTTAGACTCTCGTTCGTAAGGATTATTGGTAAAGTTTGACTTTGGACTGGCCTTCGACTCCGCTTTTGGATTTCCCCCGAGCGTCTCTGCTTATCAGGACGGCTCTCGTTAGTGTAGGTTTTTGTAAAAGAAAATTTCAGTTAGTTAGTTCCCCTCCTCCCAGCCCTTTCGGCCTGGCGCTTTCAGTTTCCCTTTTATAGTGATTCTTTGTATTTGTTTTAATAAAATCCTTTGTTTGGCGACACAATTACTTTGTTATTATTAACTCTACACACAACATCTTTTACTCCCTCCTTCACATCTCTCCTAGCAAGCTGAGGGACATAACAACCCCCCAAATCAACTTTTTTTTTCTGATAAACTATATAAATGCTTGTCTAATTGTGCTGCAGACATGTGTAGTCAATAGTTTTGCATTTTGGTTAAAATTTAAATTTTCTGCCTAAAACTGTCAGTGGTGTGCCGTTTTCAGGTAAAAACTCTGCACTGCATTTGAATTTAAATCTGCCATCGCGATTGGCTAAGAGGTACCCTACAACGTTAGCTGGTACGATAGGATGTCACAATGTCGTTGTGTGTGTGTGTGTGTGTGTGTGTGTGTGTGTGTGTGTGTGTGTGTGTGTGTGTGTGTGTGTGTGTGTGTGTGTGTGTGTGTGTGTGTATTTGTATTAGCGGCTCCGCCCTCTCGGTCTGCAAGGCAACAGCATTTGTTGCATTTTTCAAACAGGAAGTGGGAGTGGACTAATTTTCTGGTAGGGGTGACTTGCTCTTTAAGGACAATAACTCCACAGCTTCCAACCAGTCTGCCACCCACTTTCATGAATGGCGCTCCACCAACTTCCTGGAGCCGAGTGTGGATAAGACCAAGGAGTTACTGATTCACAACAACTTCCCCAGACCTGGCACACATCATCATACACCATAAAACATGTGTCAACAACGTCAGATGCCTTGGACTCACACTGAGCAAAAGCACTTGACTTTCAGCAACATGTTCTAAACATTCACAAATGTTCCTGGCAGAAACTCTATATTCGCCACAAGCTCTGTTGCTCTGTGTAAACACCTCTTACATCTCATACCCCAACATTATCCATGTCACAATCTGCCCCTGCCTCCCTGACTGTGTCTCTCCCCTGCCTGATTAGTCTTTATTGTTCTCACCTGCCCCGTGTTAATCCACCCATGTGTTCCTGATTTTCCCCTGTGTATTTATACCTCCCTTCTTGTATCAGTCTTTGTCGGATCGTTGTTTGTTGTCAGCGTTCTTTTGTTCTGTCGTTCCCGCTCTGCCTTTAAAACTACTTTTATTTCATCCGTGCTTGCATTCCTGCCTCCTGATCTGCTCCGCCACACATGGTCCGCCGTCATCCACACCCACAACGTGACAATCAAACCCATCCTTCACTAATGCCCCTGGTCCTTCATTAGGCTGTCCATCACCAAAAGGAACACACTAATGAAGGTTACAAACGCCATATCCAAATCATGGGTCTATATATCACGAATCTCTCCCACCAAAGAAATAAAGCCATCACACGTATGTCCCAGACCTGAGGGTAGCGGGTGACCCAGACCTTCATACTTCATAACCATTTCAGCCTGCTGCCCTCAGGCCATTGATATAGGAGTCTGAAGTGGGCATGCTTCAGTAAAAGCTTTGTCCCTTCTGCTAGTGTGTGTGTGTGTGTGTGTGTGTGTGCGTGCATGCGTGCGTGCGTGCGTGCGTGCGTGCGTGTGTGTGTGTGTTGGTTACACTGGAACGCTTTGGGAGGAAGTGACAGCTTCAAAGAAGATTGTGGAAGTGGTTTTAGCGTTGGTCAGGCTGAACAGTAAGGGTGGTCCAAATCAGGCCAGGGCCTGGCCACACACACACACACGCAAACACACACACACACTTTCTTTGATTTAGCTTGTTTCCCTTTGCAGGAACCAAAGTATCTTAACTGACTGGAAATACCTGCAAGTGTGTTGTGAGATTACGGATACGGTGTGTGTATGCACTGGAACAAGAAGCAGGCATAAGAGGGAATAAAAATGTGTACGTGCTTGTTGGCGAGCTTGGGGCTGGATTTTTAGATTCCTTGGTGAAGCTTTAGATCTGGAAAAAATCCAAAGCCCTTTGGATTTCCCCTGCAACCTTTGTAACGGACCAAAGAGCTGCAGAAGGAACGTTACTTTTCATTTCACAGATTCACATTTTCACTCAGGACACTGGTGGTCTGTTTATGTAATTCACACATAGCATATTTTTTACTGGCTTTCACCTTCAAGAAGCTGCTAGTTTTTTTACGTACAGAAATGTGTTCATAGTTATACAGCTTCATGGAGATGCAACAGACTCCTAAACTGGCTGAGGTGGCTTTATGGTTTACATGATTGTGTTACTTCAGCCACACTGCAGGGTCTAAGGTCAAAGGTCAGAAATTCACCTTCAGGGTTTTCTAGTAGAATTGTGGTTTCATCTATTACATGAAGTCATCCAGGTCCTGAAGCAGCAAAGCAGCCCGAGACCATCACACTGCCACCACCATGTCTGACTGTTAGTAATGTATTTTGTACGAAAGGCCGAGTTTTACACCAGAAGTAACAAGATGTGCACCTTCACAAAATCCCATTTTTGTTTTGTCAGTCTACAGAATACTATCACAAGAGTCTGGGGGACCATCAAGGTGTTTTAAAAAAAACTTAGATTTTTAATTATTTATTTATTTATTTATTTATTTATTTTTAGGTATTTTTAGTCAAAAGAGTTTTTGGGCTGTACTTTCAGATGGATGCTATTTTCCCTAGTTTCCTTCTTATTGTTGAATCATGATCTCTGACCTCAACCTTGACCTGCAATGCTTTGGATGTTGTTCTGGGCATGATGTGTTGCTTTTGAGGTCGTTTAGCCAAACGCAAACCCAGAACAAAACTGTAAAAGTGAAAATACTTTTTAAATCGTTTCACTGTGCATCAAGAATGGTTAAAAAAATTCCAAAATAATGCAATAAAACACAATAAGTTATTTGACATGAATGTGTCTTTTGTCTGCTTTAGTTAAAGCTGTTTTTGTTTGATTTGTGTATTTATTTGTTTTATTTTTGTGGCACAATTGTGAATATTTTCTGCAAGAGCTTCAGTAAGCAATCGAAAATTGTTGTGAGCCGGGAGGTGAGCACTCTCCACACACCATTATCTCACCTGTGTTTGAGCTTCTCTGGTTTCAGGAGAGAGAGCAGCAGCTGATTAGCGGGCCGCCTTCATATTAGGAGGCTCAGTCATCCCTCCCACCTGCATTCTCGTTTTTGGACTGCGTTACCATACAGCTCACGGTCTTCCTCCTCGGTCCTCGTCCTCTCAACTGGTTCCAACCCGCTCACTGCACAGTCTGCCCTCTCTCTCCTACCTGCTGGATACCCATCACTCTGCGCTCTTGGACGCTCCCTCGCTCTCCCGGCTCACCCCTCCTCGGACATACTACTCCTCTCTCCCAACCCTAAGTCCTTCCGTCAACGCTTCCCCTGTCATACTGCAACTCCCATACTCACGTCTGCTACTCTCCCCTCTAGACGCTGCTTCCCGTTCTCTCTCCCGCTGGATTGCCAGTGCGCCTTTAGTCATTATTCTAATAAAGATTTATTTATTCTTTTCCTGCCTCCGAGTCTGATTCTGCATGTCCTGGGTTAAACACTTGCCACAGAACATGACAAAAATGTCAGGTTTGAATATTTGGCTCAAACCTTTGGGAATGTTTTGATGCAGCTTTGATTTTTAAATGTCAGGCCAAGAAATCACAGCAAATGAGTTTTTCTTCTCCTGTGCCTATCAGTTTGTCCACTCATTAAGAGCCACTCTTCACGGGAAATAATCATCTGAACTGGTCTCTACTTGTCTCTTGTCTCTGTTTCTGACGGCTGACTGTTTCTCTCGCGCATAAAAAACAAAGGAATGCAAAACAACCTCAGAAGAATTGATCCATGGGTTAAGAATGCTGCCTCATTCATTCAGATTATTTTATAATTGAATTTTAAAATTCACTTTTCGTCTAGATGTCTTTTTATTTTCTAATCATTAATGTTTACGCGCATTTTAAGACTTTTTATGACACCTAAACTGTTCATCGCTCGAGGCACCGTGAGCGCTCTTTACGCAAAGCGCGCTCCCAGCTGAGTGCCTCGAGCACGCGCGCAGATAAATTCCGCCTGAAAGCGTCCAGGCTTCATTCACCAGGAGATCACAGCAGCAGGGCTTTAAGATGACATCAGTCTTCTCCGAGTGAACTGACTTCGTTTGCATGCAGGCTTCATTTTCTCGCCTCAGGTCCGTTTAAGGTGATTTAATCTGAGGAATTCTTGCTTGGCTAAAACATGCGGAGAAAAGCAAGACACCATGGATCATGAAGACAAAACAGGATATTGGAAACGCGTAAAACTCCATACCTCCATCAGCGCCTGCTCTTCTTACGAGACTTGAGCTCGTTTTTCCAGCTGCAAATCTCCTTTTTACCTGGAGTTATTTTTAGTTTTAAGCTTTTTTCGTAGTAAGCTTTAGTTTAACTTCTCGTTTACCTTCATTTTTTATTCTCATCATTTTTGAGGCGGGATCTCCTGTAGGTAAATGTCTTCTAGTGGATGTAAGATACTTTGGGGGTTCATCCTGGATTGGAGAATATTAAAGTTGTAGAGGTGGACGATCCTTCCGAGGGATGGTTCTAGGCTCTGTCTGGGATCAGGGAGCGACAACCCGGCTCCTCCAGAGGACTTTCCCGTCCCGGTGCCTATGTAGTGGACCTGAGAGGAGATGAAAGCCGCGGTCTACCACCTCGTCGTCGGATTCTTTTGGTTGTTACCGTTACGCACCGCAGCTGAGGTGAGCGGCTTTTCAAACGGAATTGTTGCATCATCGCGGATTTTAGGACCTATGCTTTCAGCGGAAGAAGTTTCAGTGTGACAGTTACAATTCACATCTGCGTAATTACGCACAAAAACACATTTTACGCAATTATCTAAACCAACAGGGCCATAATGGATGAGTCAGTGTGCAAACATTTATTAGATAACTGGTTTAAATGGTTAAACATCACGTGCCTCCTGCACTATAATGATGTTTGATGTTCTCATCTTAACTAAAACGTTCCCCCACAGGAGTCTCCGCTTCCCCTGGAGCTGCTGGAGCGGCTCTCCCGCAGCGACATCCGCAGCATCAGCGACCTCCAGCGGCTGCTAGAGATAGACTCCATAGGTAAAGCACTCACCTCTCCCACGCGCTGCATTAGCCATGTTCTTCTGTATATTTTCAGGAAAAGGCTTACTGCAATTGATGTTTGTAGCTCAACCTTTCAAGGGCAGGATCTCACGTTTAAGAATTGTATAAAAATATTAAAATTAATTAAAATACTGATTTCAAATTATGTCATTTGCAAGCAGAAAAATTAGTTTTGAAAGCTGAGTTTGATGAGTTAGTTTTAAAGTTTTTGTCACTTTAGTGTCCAAGCCTAAAACTTGGAACAATGAGAGGCGCTGCGTCTGAGGAGCTGGAGGGGACATGAGGTCCGATAAGTTTTAGGAGAGTAGGTGCTTCACTCTGTGATGGCCTTTAACTGCACCTGTGTATGTGCACACACACACGTGCACACACACACACACACACAACAACAACACACACACACACACACACACACACACGTACGTTATTGTACAATCTATGGTCCTAACTTCCTGTTTACATTTGCATGTCAAGGCTGAAACACTGATTTGAAGAGTATTTGTTTATGTGCAGAATTTCCTCTCCTTGTGGGGTGCTATGACATCATGTTGCTGGAGGCCTATCAGCTGTGACATCTCGGTTTTCCTTTTTTTTTTTTTTTTTTTTTGCACATTCAGGGTTTTGGATCATAACTGGGCTGCTTGTGTGCAGCTAAATGAAAGCTGTATTCTCATATTCACCATCAGTAAACCGGTGCCAGTTTTGTCGTTTGAGTGATATCAGAGCTGATTAAATAACTGAGGTGAGAACACGAAACAACGGTGACAACAAACAGGCCTCTGCACCTAGAACCGAGAGATTCGAGACGTGTCTGATGATCCAATTTTAGTTTGATGTCTGCAGAGCGGTGCCACCATTAATCCTGGCATCATTGAGATGCAAATGTGACAGCCCCCCCTTTCTGGCCTGGAGGGGGTCAAGTGGCTCACTTCATTATGCTGTTGTCATGCTGCCCATTATTGCTGTGAGAGGGGGGCTCGCAGGAAGGCTGCTCTGCTGAGATGTATAATTCATGCTCAAATTCCTCCATGTCAGGGGACTCGGAGACACAGGAGGGAGATGCCGGAGCTGGACTTTGTTGTGTCACCAGCACATTGTGAAGACAGGCAGGCGTGTGTGTGTGTGTGTGTGTGTGTGTGTGTGTGTGTGTGTGTGTGTGTGTGTGTGTGTGTGTGTGTGTGCGATTTCTTACATCACAGTGATTCCCTTAAATCTGTTTTTATTCCTGTGACACACAAAGAATATTTGGTTGACTTGCTTTGTGAGCTAATTAGAGTGCCATGTGGCTCAAACATGTAGACACACACACACACACACACACACACACACACACACACACACACACACACACACACGCATATACAAGTATGAGTAAATAAGTAAGTACATTTTATTTATGTAGCTCATCACAGCAGAAATTCACAAAGTGCTTCACAGATTACAAAACAAATCATTAAGTCATGAAATCATAATGATCTTAAAACAGAAATTAATTAAAATCAGAAAAACAAAGTCATCAAATTATAAAATACCATAAAACAAATGAAAGATGATTACAAATTAGAGTTAAAGATAAGAAAACAAAAATGAAAGTAAAAGCAGCTTTAGATAAAAAGATCTTCAGCTGTTTTTTAAGTGACCAGATTGTCAATACTACGTATTTTAATTTTTGTATTTTTTGTTATTTATTCTTTATTTGACCAGGAAGGTCCCACTGAGATTAAAAACCTCATTTTCCAGGGAGTCCTGGCCAAGAGGCAGCAGAAATCTCTTTTAAATCTCTCTTGAAATCCACTTTTATGGATAAGCTTTTAATTTCTGACTCGTAGGGTAGTCTCTGTTTTATTGTTTAAACTGTGCTTTTGGTGTTTTAATCTCTTATTGTGTTTTAAATTGTGATCTTATCTGTGCGTTTTATTTTCATCCCTATTTTAGTGTTTTTAGTTGCTGTATTTGTCTGCAGCACTTTGGTCAGCTCTCATGCTGTGTATAAAATTGTGCTATACAAATAAAATGGTATGGTATAGTTACAGTTACAGTTACAAATGTTTCTGTTAAACAGACATGTGATGTACAAAATGACAGAAGGCAGTTACAGCACATGAAATCCGTCTCCAGGGTTCTCAGTCTGGTTTTAGATGTATTCAAGGAGATAAACTCGGTTAATTTCCAGTTTTCCTGCAGCCTGTTCCATGCAGAAGGAGCAGAGTGAACAAAAGCCCCTTTGCCAATTTCGATGTGAGCAAACGGAACACAAAGTGATCGTGTCATTTCTTCCTTACGTAAGGATAAGGAAGATCATTCCAAAGTCGGGGTCTGGACGAAGAGATCAGCTCGACTTTTATATCTGGTCTTTGGAAGTGCTGGTCATAAAATTAGAATATCATGAAAAAGTTTATTTATCTCTGCAATTGCATTCAAACAGTGAAACTTGCCACTTTCAGTAATTCATTACACACAGACTGATATATTTCTAATTTATTTTAATATTGATGATTATAACTGACAACTTTAAAAAATCCCAAATTCAGTATCAGAAAAGTATCATCAAAATATCAATTAAGACCAATGCGTTGACCTTGGACCTCAGAAAACACAAAGGATCACCAGCAGATGACATGGCACCCTAAACCATTACTGACTAGAAACTTTACACTGGACCTCAAGCGACATGGATTTTGTACCTCTCCTTTCTTCCTCCAGACTCTGATGGCGGAACGGAGGGCGGCGCACTGCGCCGCACGGCCGCAGTAGTGGAACAGCTCTGATTGACTTCAACGGGACCGTTTTTGCTGCGGAGTTTGTGCCGGAGCGGAGCAGAGCGGAGCTAGTGTAATTTTGGGGTTAGAACTTGTGTTTCTCAATGTCAAGGCGCCTGGCCTCGCAAGGCGATGTCTTGTGAGGCCAGGCGCCTTGATTACAAGGACACTGAACTTCCTTGGTCAAAGAAAACTGTTAAATGGAACAAACTTGCATCACGTGACCATAGCTTCAGCGACTCTAACGTAACGTCGTGTGACAAGGGAGGTAACGTTACATTATATACGTATAAGTTTCAATATAAATACATAACAAGCCTTTCACTTTTGAACTGTGTACTTGTTGGTAAAATTAAAAATGTCAGCGAGTAACTAGCTGCTAACCATCGAAGTTGCAACTAACTAACCATAGCTAACTGCTCTGGATATTAAAAAATATACATTTTAGAAATCAGCCCGATAGCTACAATTAGTTGACTTACATTTAAAGTTGAAATTTGCCCCGAAGTAGCTGCTGGCTTCTGATCCGCCATCCTTTTTCAAATGCTGCGGTGTATTCTGGGAATTTTTTTATCAAGGCCATGCTACAAGAACCTCTCGTGTATCCTTGCTCAGCTAGCTAAACAACTAACGAACGGAGAACAGACGCCTCGGTAGAACATGAACATTGGAACACGCCTTGGTGGTTCCTGATGACATATCTCCTAGGCAACTGGTGTGGGGCCAAGACATCACGGTGAGGTTCCTTGGCACTGAGGAACACGCCTTTATTTCTAAAGGAAATGTGGAATTTACTTCCGTTAGAGAACATAACTTTGGACCACTCCGCAGCAGTCCAGTCCTTTTTGTCTTTAGCCCAGGCGAGATGCTTCTGTTGCTGTCTCTTGTTCAAGAGTGGCTTGACACAAGGAAAGCGACAGCTGAACCCTGTCTTGCATACATCTGTATGTGGTGGTTCTTTGAAGCTCTGACTCCAGCTGCAGTCCACTCTTTGTGAATCTCCCACATGAATGGGTTTTGTTTCACAATCCTCTCCAGGGTGCGGTTATCTCTGCTGCTTTTACACTTTTTTCTACCACACCGTGTCTTTCCCTTCACCTCTCTACTGATGTGCTTAGACACAGAACTCTGTGAACAGCCAGCCTCTTCAGCAACGACCTTTTGTGGCTTGTCCTCCCTGTGTAAGGTGTCAATGGTTGTCATTTGGACAATTGTAAGGTCAACAGTCTTCCCCATGATTGTGTAGCCTACAGAACTAGACTGAGAGACCATTTAAAGGATTTTGCAGGTGTTTAGAGTTAATTAGCTGACTAGAGTGTGGCACCAGGGGTCTTCAATGTTGAACTTTTCACAATATTTTAATATTCTGATACACAATTTAGGATTTTAATTAGTTGTCAGTTTTAATCTTCAAAATTATAAAATTTAACATTTGAAATATATCAGTCTGTGTGTGATGAATATATCTAATATACAAGTTTCCCTTTTTGAATGGAATTACTGAAATAAATCAACCTTGCCATGGTATTCTTATGGTATGATCAGTACCTATATATATATATATATATATATATATATATATATATATATATATATATATATATATATATATATGTATATATTATACCCCTCCCTGGGCTGCCACCTTACCGGATTGGAGGCATAGCCTGAAGAGGAGATGTGGGTTCTCCTTCCCACTCAGAAGATCAAAGACAACATACCAAAGTGGATGTTTTTGCTCAGAAAAATAAACTTGGACGTTTTTATGTGTTTGACCCAAAATTCTGCATGAATTTGTTTTATTTTGTCTCTCTCCAGAGAACGAGGTGATGGAGGAGACCAAACACAGCTATTACAAGGTCTTCTCTCATAGCTTCCTCGACCATAAGAAAACACAAGCGAGACTAAAGAGGAGCACGGGTGAGAAATACACACCTGGATCATTGTATAAGGAAATCTGGCCCCTTTTGCTGATAGGGTTGTGTGTTGTAAGTAAAACTTCGACCTCTTTGTTCACCTGCAGTGGTGGAGGAAGCCGTACCAGCAGTGTGCAAAGTGCGTGCAACGATTTATGAAATCCCCAGGAGTCAGGTGGATCCCACCTCCGCCAACTTCATCATCTGGCCTCCCTGTGTGGAGGTGAACCGCTGCACTGGCTGTTGCAACACCAGCAACACAAGGTGTCAGGCAGCTCGTAAACAACACCGTACAGTCAAGGTAACAGGCAGGAATCCTTCCTCTGTACGTAATGAGTTGGTCCAATGTGAATCTTCCTGGAAAAGCAGATCCATGAAATATTGGACACTGGTTAGCTGTTCATTTCTGAATAAATGGAAAATCTGAAAAGTTGGAGGAAGTGAAGTAATCCTGCTGATAAATACTAAACTACCCAAAACATTATTTTTTCCATGGACAACACATTAAACTAAAACCCTGAATAGATATTGGGGTGATGATGCATGGTGACACAGCTGGTAGCGCCGTTGCCTCACAGCATGGAGGTCACAGGTTCAAGCCCCTTTCTGCATGGAGTTAGCATGTTCTCCCCACACATGCAGGGGTACAGTTTCCTCCCACTGACCAAAAATGTGTTCATTGGCATATTTAGATTTACTCTTGATTGTCCCTGGGTGTGAGTGAATCTGTCCTCTCCGTCCCTGTGATGGACTGGCGTTCTATTTTCTAAATAAACAAAAGACTCATTACTGTCACATTGTTCATGAATCTGCTTAAATCTGTGTTAGGGAGCACTTCTCCTCTGCCAAGATAATCTGTCCCACCTCACAGGTGTGGCATATCCAGGTGCTGAGTAGACAGCAAGATTATCGCACAGGTGTGCCTTAGACTGGGCACAATAAATGGCCACTCTGAGATGTGCAGGTTGATCACAATGCCACAGATGATGCAATGCATTGGTGAAGATTTGCTCTTGACATTGGCGCGGACTTATAAACGTACCCCCATTAAACGACTTAACTAACATTATCACAGAATAAAAAGTATTTCTCAGTCTCTCAAAGCAAAAATATAACATTTTTAGTCAAAAGCTCTTGCTTCAATTCAAATTAGTAAGCTGTGAGTTTCTTATGCTACACCCTAACCCTACCACAGCATGCTGTAAAACCCACCACTGCTGCTGATGTGAAGGAGCCAAACACATGCCTCATTGTTTTAACATTTAAAAACTGTTTTTCTGATTATTATTTCACATGTCAGGCTTTAAAGGATTAACTGTCACTCTCTCTAGGCTGGTAATATCTTTGCACAAGGCTGCATATTTCCCTCAGAGTGGAAGTTAGACTGAGGGAGGAAGAGTTAGTTCTGATTAACATGGTTAGTTCTCTATCTCCCTCAGAGAAAGGTGAATCATACCTGCTGTACGCTGAGAGATGAAGCCTAGCACTGCCAGTAACGTTATGATGATGGACTTGTTTCTTTAGCAAACTTAATTTTTCTTTGGAAAATAGCTCCTTATGTCCTCAAACTTCTTTTTCCTTCGCTGGCAGTGAATGAGTTAATCTACCAACTGAAATGTCTCCCCAGCCTTCTTCAGTGTCTGCAGCAGTGATTCATTGCTAAATCAAACAAATC